GGCCTGGAGAGGGCCTCTTCCACCTATACTACATCAGCTTTCAGATAATTGGGCCTCAGTGCTGGCTACTTTGAACCTAAGAATCCTTGGGGGTGGGGGAGGAAGAGACAATAAAGATGTAAATACAGACACGTGGCCTTGTGGCATCTCTTAGGTTCCCGAACACCTCAAAGCTAAGGGGAAAGCCCCAAGGATAGGGCTCTGCCCTCTTGGTGAGTCAGGCCTTGGGATCCCAGGAAATGTGTCCCCTATAACGTGGCAGCTGTTCCCTCATTCCTGCCTCTGGGCGGGGGAGGTTAGGTGAACAGCTGGTCGTGTGTCACCTCTGCTCTGGAATTAGTATCTCCAGCACCTGCAGCATATTCAACCTTGGCTTGGTACCCCCCAGACTAGAAAGCCCTGGGATGTAAAAAACAGCCGTGAAAATACACCCTGATGCCTACTGTACATTCCTAGAGTCTCTAGCGTGTGTGTGCATGCATACACACTCACACACACACACATGAACCTCGGCACCCTTCAAGAAACTCCCACTTTTCCATCCCAACCAGTGCTCCCAGAAAATCCCCCCTCTGCGCCCAACTTGCCTGTTAATTCAGTGCACATCGCCTGCTAACTGGCAAGTGGAGCCTGAAAAATAAGTTCATCAAGTGCTCCCTGTCGAGTGGAAAATGCATGTTGCTACTCCTTGACTAGGGATGAAGAAGTGGTCAGAGAAGACATGAGGTTTGAGCTCATAAAGACAGCAGATGCGGACCTAAGGGAAGAGTGGAAGTCTTAACCGGTGAACAGAGGGATCACGTCTGGAGTTGAGGTCACATTCTGTTACAGGGAAGGGAGACGAGGTGGCACGGGGAGGCTGTGAACGGCTTTCCCTTCGTTTCTAAACACCCCTTAAACACACCCTGACTCCCAGAGTTCCCCTCCCTCCGAAGTCAACCTCTCCCATTTCACTCCCTCCAGGAATTCTCTGACCACCGGGCTGGGCTGGAGGCCAGACACCCAGGCCTCTAGGGAGAGAGTAGAGGAAGTAAGGGTCTATTTCTCCTCAAACTTAAGCCCAAGCTGCATCCCTGGTGCCACAGCGACAGCGGTCACACAGGCTGCCTTTCCTTGCACCCTTCCTGTGCGTGTGTGCTTGTGTGTACACACACATGCCTGCACCCATACAAGCAGGTTCTGAGCCCAGCGCGCTCCACCTTTCTGGACAGTGTCTCACTGAACCTGGACCTTGCTGTTTCATCTCGACTGGCTGGTTAGCAAAGCCCCAGGATCTGCTGTCTCCACTTTCCCCCACCCAGTACTGGACCGGGCTCACAAACAGGAACCGTCACACCCAGGTGCTCAGGGTCTAAGCTCAGCTGGCACATCAAGTCCTTTACCCACTGAGCCATCTCCCCAGCCCCTTTCCCCGCAGGGCTCCCTACACTACAGGGGTTCTCCTGCTTCACCACACCCCAGCTTTATCTCTTTTTCTGGCGGGGGTGGTGGGGGAGGGTTTCTCTATGTAATCCTGGCTGTCCTGGAACTTGTTATGCAGACCAGGCTGGCCTCAAATCACAGAGGACAGGACAACGATTGGGACTTAAAGGCAGGTGCCACCAGGCCTGGCCCAGGTTTGCCAGCTCTGTTGTTAGTCTCTTTCCAAGCCCCCTTAGGATTTGGGTCTTAGCATTCTTCCTCCAGGACCCCCCACCCCCAGCTGCTGTGCAATTAAGAGTCCCCACTTAGCCGGGCGGTGGTGGCGCACGCCTTTAATCCCAGCACTCGGGAGGCAGAGGCAGGCGGATCTCTGTGAGTTTGAGACCAGCCTGGTCTACAAGAGCGAGTTCCAGGACAGGCTCCAAAACCACAGAGAAACCCTGTCTCGAAACAACCAAAAAAAAACAAAAAAACAAAAAACCAAAAAAAAAAAAAAACAAAAACAAGAGTCCCCACTTGTTTTATCTATCACAACTCCTACTTTGAAATTATTCAACAATCCCCTTTTGATTCAAGCCTGACATCCCTACTTCATCATAATCTCAAGGAGGTCATGGATGGTATAGTTTGCCACTTGTGCCTGGGGCCACGGTAGGAACTCAGCAAATACTTGTTGGATGATTGTCAACAGTCAGACATGCTCAACACCTGCCAGAAGGCTGCAGGCTGCACAGAGACAGCCTGCCAGGAATGGCCCTGGCCTGGGGCATCCCCCATGTCCCAGTCTGAGATACCTGGCCCGAGGAAGGAGGGACAGAGAGGGCAGTGGGGGTGGCCCTAAAATAATAAGGTCTGGGCCAGGTTGCTGCGTGAGGGGTGGGTATGGGTGTTCTGAGAGACCAGGAAGTTCTGGGACCAAGGGTTGGCTGGCAGGTTGGCTGGCACTCAGGGTTTTCAGCCCAGCCTCCCCCCTCCCCCCTCCGAGACTGCTTTCTAACTGGCCGGGATCAGTTTTCCTCCTCTCAGAACCACCCCCACTACCCAAGGAGACTGAGGACTGCAGAGGTCAGAAGTAGGAAAAAAAAAAAGCCCACTGCTTTCAGCTAGGAGGGCGTGGCTTAGGGAGGGGCCCACAGGTAGTTGCCTTCTGCCGAGGTACCTGGAGAGGTCTCTGTGGTGGCCAGGTCGTAAGACGGAACAGGTCCAAAGACTAAAGGCGTGTCTTCCATCCACCTGTGGCCATTTCCTGCTAAGAAGCCCACCGTTCACCCTTGCTTCACCTTCTCATCGTGGGGTTCGTCACTTCTGAGCCCACATCTAAATCCAGCCTTCGAAACCAGCCTTCAATTCCTTCATTTTTTAACCTAGAGTCTCCCCTGGGGGGCCCTCGTCCTGGGCCATGGCCCTAAGGGTAGGCCTGGGACCTGGGCAGCTGGAAGTCATGGGCATTCTGCTTCTTTTCGGATTGCTCCAGTCAAGAATGGGTAAGTCTGGGTCAGCAGGGAGGGAGGGCTGGAGCGAGGGCACTGGCGAGAGCAGGCAGAACCCTGTGGAGAGCTCAGCTCTTATCCTGGATTCATGAATCTCTGTGCTCCTACCATTTGCCCATCTTCTCCTGTCAGCCCCTTAAGCAGGAGTTGCCCTCTGGGAGAGCGGTTTGTATTAAGGGGTCCAGGAATTCTCAAGCCTCTCTGTTTATTCTTCCCTCTTTCTTTCCCCTCAGGAGCTGGCGGGACCGAAGGTGAGGCTTCCTGGGGAACTGGGAGGAGGGCAGTGAGTGAGGGCACGCCAGTGTGGAGTCCCCCGGTGGGTTTTAGGAGCTCTTGTCACCCTGCTGAGCTTGCTCACCTAGCCACACTAAGTGTCCCAACTGCTCTGTGAGTATGGAATCATGGCTCTTGTTTTATGAGGGAACTGAGGTGAGGGGAAGCGGTGAGTTGTCTGACTCCCCGTGTGTGTACCTGGGCTGGTTCCGAGGGAAACTCCACAGACCAGCTAGCTCCTAGGCGGACTGGTTTTGAGTCCCAGCTTAACTATTTAGTAGCCTGGTCTCCTTAGCGTTCTAAGCTCCAGTTTCTTTGCCTTGAAAAACTGTCTGTCAGCTCCATTCTTCTAGGGCTGTAGCGAGGAGTCCCGGAGATTAGATAGTGAAAGCCCCTTCGGAGCTAGACTTGCCACGGCGGCTAAGCAGCAGCTATTGTGATGATTATGAGGGAATGGAGGAAGAATCTAGCTGGTTGCTTTCTCTGCTTGAGGAAAATGTGGAAGGCAGTTTTAACTCCTCTCCCCTGCTGGCTCAGTGGCGGCAGCGGGTCCACACCACAGTCCAATGGTTTCAGTGTTCAGCCACATCCATACCTCTGTGTGCTCTGCGTGGGGATAGGGTGGAAAGAGGGATGTCCCTAGGCGACGCCCAGGTCAGGTCGCAGCTGGGACAGTCATAGGCATGAGAACAGTTGTCAGCCCAGACAGTGTTCAGGAGAGAGGGCCCTGGAAGCTGAGAGCAGCACGTGTGTGTGTGTGTGTGTGTGTGTGTGTGTGTGTGTGTGTGTGTATGTCTGTGTCTGTGTGCGTGTGTATGTCTGTCTGTGTCTGTGTGTGCTGGGGGGGGGCGCTGGGGGCTCTCTGACCTAGCAGAGAAAGGGTGGGAAAGACAGAGTAAAGTGACTGGTATTAAAAGGATCCAGAGGACCCAGAGGTGAGTAATGTATGGCTCAGTGTATGTGACAGGAAGTGTCCTGCGCAATAGTCAGAGGACAGCGCCATGTGCATCTGGAATCTATCTTTTTTTCTTTAATTCTTTAAAATTTAGTATTTTGCCTGTGTGAATGCATGTGTGTCACATGAGTGTCCAGTGCCTTTGGAGGTCAGAAGGTATCAAATCCTCTGGAACTAGAATTTAGGAGAGTTGGGAGCTGCCATGTGGGTGCTGGAAGCCAAGCCTAGGCCTCTGCAAGAGTAACAAGTGCTCCTAACAGCTGAGCCATCTCTCCAGCCGCTGGAATGGATCTTAAGGGCAGTTGGAGCCATGAGAGAGCTCAGCAAGACTGTGGCTTGGCCAAATTTGTGGTTTATAAAGCTATTCGTATGTGTAAGGAGGCTTGAGAGGAAGGGGCTGCCACAACACTTGACTAGGACATCACCAGGCAGTGACTTCTCAGCTGCTGAGCCATAGGGTGGGGAAGGTAGCTGAATGTGAAGTCGGTGGCGGGGCAGCGGGGTGGGGAGGAGGGGCGGCGGGCAAGGGGGGTGGTGGGGTGGGCGGCAGGCTAAGGGCTGCTGTGGGAGTCCCAGAAAGACCTGACTTCACCCTCCCCTCTTCCCTGGACAGCCTCCTGTGGTGCCATTGTCCAGCCACGCATCACAGGTGGTAGCAATGCGAAACCTGGCCAGTGGCCCTGGCAGGTCAGCATCACCTATTCCGGAGTCCACGTGTGTGGCGGGTCTCTCGTGTCGGATCAATGGGTGGTGTCAGCGGCTCACTGCTTCCCCAGGTACCAACTCGGTGGAGGGGTAGAGGGGGAGTCAAAAGTGGGTGGGAAACAGTGTTTGGGTAACAAGCCTGAAATCCCAACACTTGGGAGATGGAACCAGGATCAGAAGTTCAAGGTCAGACAGCTACCACATAGTAAATTCAAGGCCAGCTTGACCATGTTTACATTAGACACTATTTAAAAAAAAAAAAAGCATGCCATGGGTCAGTCTAGATCATATGTCAGACTAGTTCCTTGTGTGGGTTTCAAGAGTCTTGGCAGCCTTAAATCCCAGCACTCAGGAGGCAGAGGTGAGGCAGAGGCAGGTGGATCTCTGGGAGTTCCAGGTTAGCCAGGGATAAATAATATTTATCAAAAAAAAAAAGAAGAAGAAGAAGAAGAGGAAGAAGGAGAAGGAGAAGGGAAGAAGGAACCAGTCAGAGGTAAAAGTGAGAGGTCAGGGTCAGTACCAGTGTCCTGTAGAAGGCCTCTGGTATTTGGCGGGCATTGTGAGCTAGGGTAGTGTAAGGCAGCAGGGGTCAGGATAGAAGGTCTCTCAGGTCCTGCCTCTCTACCTGCAGAGAACACAACAAGAAGGAGTATGAGGTAAAGCTGGGGGCCCACCAGCTGGACACCTACAGCAACGACACTGTGGTCCGCACGGTGGCGCAGATCATCTCCCACCCAAGCTACCGTGAAGAGGGCTCTGAGGGCGACATTGCACTCATCCGCCTTGGCAGCCCTGTCAGCTTCTCCCGCTACGTCAAACCCATCTGCCTCCCTGCAGCCAATGCCTCCTTTCCCAATGGCCTCCATTGTACTGTCACAGGATGGGGTCATGTGGCCCCTTCAGGTGAGGTGGGGCACTGGGTGCCAAGAGACAGGGAAGGCAAGCCCGTAGAGGCTGGCAACCCTGAATAGCCATTCTGTCCCCACAGTGAGCCTACAGACACCCAGGCCACTGCAGCAGCTTGAGGTCCCACTAATCAGCCGTGAGACCTGCAGCTGTCTCTACAACATCAATGCCGTGCCTGAAGAGCCCCACACTATCCAGCAGGACATGCTGTGTGCCGGCTACGTGAAGGGAGGCAAGGATGCTTGCCAGGTAAGGGCAAGGGCTCAGGGAACAGAGAGGTCAAGTAGACCCTGAGAGATGGAGGGCTGAGGGAGGGAGCTGGCATGGAAGACAGCTGACCAGAGATATGTCCTGACAGAACTCTTCTTTTTCCCTTAGGGTGACTCTGGGGGCCCACTCTCTTGTCCCGTAGAAGGCCTCTGGTATTTGGCAGGCATTGTGAGCTGGGGTGATGCCTGTGGAGCCCCTAACAGGCCTGGAGTATATACTCTGACTTCTACCTATGCCTCCTGGATCCACCGCAACGTGGCACAACTCCAGCCTCGCATAGTTCCCCAAACTCAGGAGTCCCAGCCAGATGGCCACCTCTGCAACCATCACGCTGCCTTCAACTCAGCTCCAGCCCAGGGACTAAAGCCCATGCTTTTCCTGCCACTGGGCCTGGCCCTGGCTTCTTCCTTCTTCGGCCTTTGGTTTGAACATTAAGCTACTTATCCCTCAAAGCTGACCAACAGCATCCCTAAGGACATGTGCCTGTTCAGGAGGGCAGTGCACCAACTTGGCCTTTGAGCCCATTCTTTTGTCTGCTCTTCGGGGTTATAATCTAGGGCCAAGAGGTTTATGGCCTGTGGAACGGGCCAGAAATTCTAGCTACCTTTCTCTATTATCTGCAGCTTATTGGTTAGGCTCCTATGGAGCTCCCAGAAGCCTCAATAGGAAACCGAGCCCTGACTTCAGCCTGTGTCTAGAACACAGGCCAGTGCTTAGCTGACTGCTGCAGAAGGCTGGCTTCAGGGCCCTACTCATCCTGCCTGATGAGCCCATTACTTCGTCCTCTTCCTGTCTCCTGGGCTTTGTGTGTCTTTCAGACAGGGAAGACCTCAGGCTTACTCCACTGGCTGCCAAGCCTGCTTTGAGCCCAACTCCTGGACTCCGGAGGACTGAGCCCCCACCGGAGCTGGCTGGGGCTTGGATCATGGTGAGGGTATAAGCAGAGCAAGGAGTAAATGTTTTGAACACAACTGGCTGTATGTGAGATGAAATGAAGAACAGTACCCTGTAGCATCTCCTTTGTACCTCCAAAGTCCAGCACACCAGCAGAATTTACTTTATTAAAAAAAAAAAAGACACAAAACAGGTCCGTACACATATTTACAGGTTAACGACAGGAAACGCAGATCCAAAGCAGGGAAGAGCCCACTCACTTCTTGGAAAGCTTGACTTGTTTGTGCTTGGGGGGTGCCCACTTGAGGCAGACAGAGTCCACTGTGGGAGAAAAGAGCACAAGAGGCCGTGGGTCAAGTCTGTTCACACCTGGCTGCTCTTTCTGGGCCCAGGCCAGGTTTCCTCTTCTCAGAGTAAGAACAAAAGGGTGACCTCAGTCCTGAGGAGGGGAGGAATCTCAGGAATGAGTAACCTGCTCTAGGTGGCAGTCCTAGAAACTGGCCAAACTGGTTTGGGATCTTGTAACAGGAAAAAAAAAAAGGCTGCCTTGACTCTTATCCCACCCTGCCAAACACACCTGTACACACACACACACACACTGCACACAGCAGCACCCCACACACCTGTGATCGGTGGTTTCTTATACTGGGCACTTTTGAGGTGTTCTTCTACCAGCTTAGGGGTGACACAGATCACATGCTGGCCCTTCCAGTACTTGACCATGTTGAGGGACTGCAGGGTGCTGATGATGTCGTTCTGGGTGATGCTGGTCATTTGGCTGTATGTAGAGAAGGAACACAGTTCATGGAGACAAGATCCATGACCAATTTTAGGAGAGCCCATTCCTGTAGGATTCCAAGATGATCTTTCACAAGGTCCTTGATGGACAGTACCTAAGATCTTTGATAGACAATGTGCCCCGGAAGTCTCGTAGGATCTCCAGCAAGACCCATGACCAGTAGCTTCGGTAGCTGAGTTTGCCCAGGTCACTCAGTGGCTTCTCTGGAGAGCCTACAGTACTCTCTAGCTTGGAGAGCTCATAACCTGGCAGTGACAGAAAGAAAACCTTAAAGATCCAGCTTCTCCCCACCCCCCCCACCTCATCATTCCCACGTATAGCACCCACTTCCTGGATGGCAGCGGCTACTCACTGAACGCAATGAGAAACTTTCCATAGCCACGTCGCTGGTAGGGGGGCAGTGTCAGGATGCAAGCCACATTGTTTCCATCTGGGGATTCCTTCTCCTGTGGAGTATGGGGTACTCAGGTCCTTTGGGGAGTCCAGCCTTCATTCTAGTTTATAACACCCTCTTCCCAGTCTCCCCAATCTAGTACCTTAGAAAAGTAGCCGACAATGTGGGCCCCTTGCCTATCTACTTCTGTCAGAATGTAAAAGACAAAGGGCTCCACATCAAAATACAAGGTCTTGTGGTCCAGGAAAAGCTTGGCCAGCAGACACAGGTTCTGACAATATATCTAGGGATAAGAGATAGAGACATGCTAAGCAAACAGTACAACACCTCCGCTCGGTCTGGGGACCAGAAGCCTCTGCAGCCTCTAAAGAGCCAGGCTGCTCAGAGGAGTCAGGCAGGTAGCGGGAGTGAGCGCCTCCACGGAACAGAATTCAGAGCAGAAAGGAGTCTTCCTGTCAGTAAGGCGGACAGGAAGGAGGCCCAAAGTGAAGTCCGTTCACACTAACGGTAACAGGAGAGCTGGGCTGTTCACAGCTTCCTTTATTAGTTGTTTGTGTTTGGAACAGGGTCTCACTATGTAGTCCTGGCTGGCTAGGAATTTATTTTGCAGACATGATGGCCTCAAACATAAAGAGATCTGCCTGCTTCTGCCTCCTGAGTTCTGGAACTAAAGGCGTGTACCATCATGCCCAACTATCTGACACTTTTTAAAATATTAAATTACATATGTAAAGAAGGTCAGAGAGCAACTTCCAGGCACTATTTTCTTTCCACTGTGGGTTCCAGGATAAGTTCAGGCTGTCAGGCTTCCACGGCCAACACTTTGAGGGCCAAATAAAAGGTAGGGTTTTACATGTGCAGTCAGCTTCAATCTTTACAGACATTAGCTTTCAGCACAGGAAACTGAGGCCCAGAAAGAAGAGTGCCTTAGGTTCTGCAGCTGGTGGATGCGGGGCAGAAACTCTGTCCCACTCACGTTCTATAGCAGTCAATACAAAGTTGCTAAGCAGAAGCTGGTAACTGCCAACTCAAGAGGCCTGCAGCCAGCCCCGAACCCTGAGTTGTCTGCCTGCCTGGACAGCTGCTGGGCCCCGTCTAACTGATGCAAATAGAGACCTGTCTAGGCCAGCATTAGGACAGACAATAGTGCCTTGCAGTTGCCTTCTTAGTATAGATTTAAAGTGTTTCTGGTTTTGTTTTCTTTTTTCACACTGGCCTTGAACTCTCAGCGATCTGCCTGCCTTTGCTTCCAGGAGTGCCAGGATTGAAGGCGTGTGCCATCACACCCAGCCCTTTCATGTCTTGAGACAGGGTTCAGACAGCTACAGCCCAGGGTGCCCAGCCTCCTGGGTGCTAAGATTATAGGTGCGCGTCACCATACACCAGGTGTCTGTTTTCACACTGCTTCTGCACTCCGACCTCGTCTAAGACTGTGTGAGCCCAGCACAGCTAGTCTGAGGTGACTCAGGAGTCAGAGCAGGCACAAGGTGAAGCTGGCAAACACCACCCCCAGCCCCACTCCATTGTCACTGGAGGCCACTGCTGTTATTCCACCAGTTCAAGCTAAAGGAAGTCAGAGTAGCTGACAGGGAGCAGGCTCGGTATTGCCCCAGCAGGTCTCCAATAACAACGAAGGCCATGTTTACTAACAGCCTACTAGATGCCAGGCACGTGCTACCTACATAGCTGACGTTTGACATTTGTGGTCTCATCTGTTCCACCAAACAGATGAGGTAAATAATTATGACTCTTATCTTATGGATGCGGAAACAGGAACAAAACAAAATTAGGTCACTTGTCTGAGGCTAGCCAGGAAGTGACATGGTGATCTAAGAAGCCTGCCCTCTTCATCTTGTACTACACAGCCCTTCAGGGGAGACCAGAACACTGCTAGAGACCTGTCAGACCCAGTAGACAGTGAAGACAGAGACAGAACACCAAAGTTTGTCCACTCCCTTTGGAGTCACTCACTCCTCTGAGAAGCAGGAGCTCAGCCTGTGAAATCTCTGACAACAATGCTTCCCCTTCCAGGAAGAAAGGAAGCTGGTTAAGAGCAGCCTCAGGCAAGACAGTTCTCCAGAACTACCCAGACCAGAACCACCCAGTCTAAAAAGGAGTCCCCAGAAACAGAGGGGAGACCTGGCCTGAGGTGGTATTATCACATGGCCGTGTTCTCTATGCACTAACACAGGCCAAGCATCAAGTGACATGAGACCTCACTTGGTCAAGAGTAGATATAGATACCCACTGAAGGCTGACCTCTGCCTGGTAGAGGGGATAGGTAAGAATTACCCAGGAAGCCGGGCTCACCTTGTGGTCTTTGCCATCCACTTCATACACAGAGATGTTGCTTTTGCGGTAGATCTCCTTCCCTGGGGGCTGCCGCCACTGACACTGGCCCTGGAGAGCCGGGTGAGAGAACAAGCTTCAGACCTTTCAGACCTGCCTCTTGGCTTTGCCATGTGCAGGCCCTATCTATGTTCCATGCTTTCTATCCAGTAACCCTCATTTCCTCGTCAGAACAGGATCTAACTAAGGAATTTAGGAATAACTAAGGGACAAAGAGGCTAATAACTGCAAAGTATCACAATCGACTGATCTTGGGTCTGGACACAACACCTCCTTTCCTAAACCTTCTATATCCGCCTCAGGTGCTGCTTAGGGAGACGTCCTACTGTGCTGGTGAAAAGCGCCCCCTTCCTGCCAGCTGTAGTACTGCATTTCTTTCTACCGGCTGACATTGCTCAGCTGGATTTGTGCTTCTTTTGCCTTGAGGAGCCCAACACCAGGTTTTAGTAAGGGCAAGGAACTTGAATAGTTTGATCCCCATTCTGTAGAAGAGGAAACTGAGGTCTGAAGAGTGGCAGTGAGCTGGCCAAAGTTACCCTCCCAGTAGTAGAAAAGCTGTCTTTTCTTTGTTTCTTCTTTCCTGTCTTTCTTTAAACAAACTTTAAAAAATTATTTTTATTTTTTAGCTGGGCATGGTGTTACAATATCTTTAGTCCCAGCACTCCGAAGATGGAGGCAGAGGCAGGTAGATGTCTGTGAGTTTAAAGGTCAGCCTACAACAACAAACAAAATACATATATTTATGATGTGTATGCATGTATTCATGTTTGTGGGTATGTGTAATTGAATGCAAGTTCCTGCAGAGACATGAAGAGGGCTGTAGATTTGGAACTGGAGTTACAGGCACCTGACATGGGTGCTGTGATGTAGGAGATTCTTCTGTCTATGTGTTGCTTTCATGGTTGAATAAAGAAATCGCCTTGGCCTTTTGATAGGTGGGCAGAGTAGACAGAACAAAATGCTGGGAAGAAGGGCAGTGTGACAGATGCCATGAATCTCTGGCATGAGACAGACGTAGGTTAGAATCTTGCTAGTAAGCCACAGTCACGTGGTGACACACAGATTTAATAAAAATGGGTTAATCGAGATGTGAGAGTTAGCCAATAAGAGGCTAGAGCTAATGGGCCAGGCAGTAATTTAATTAATACAATTTCTGTGTGGTTATTTTGGGGGTTACGCTAGCCGGTGGCAGGACGCAGCCACTCCCTCATCATACTACAGTGCTGGAAACCTGGGTTGTCTGCAAGAGAATACAATGTTTTCAACTCCTGAGCTATCTCTCCAAAGTCCTGTTTTTCCTTCCCTTGTGCAGTCCAAGCCAGGCTAGAACTCACTATGTAGCTGGGGATGGCCCTGAACTTCGGATCTCTATAGAGACCTAGTTAATATTGTCACACCCAGAGGAATCCAGGTCTCTAGTCTCCCGGGCAGTTTTTCCCCAACTTCTCTGGACTCATGCCCGGGCGTGGCAGGCCCAGCCTCACCAGGTGGAAGCGGTAGCTCTTCTCGTACTTCATGTACTTGAGGCAGTACTCGCAGAGCCAAAGCTTGGGCTGTTTCCCATAGTCTTCTGGGAAGGGTGAGAAGTACCAGGCATCGATCTCATAGTTCCCAATGTGGATCTTGTCTACATACTTCACTTTGGTGATCTGCAGACAGGGGGAGCTCAGCAGGAACGAGGAGGGCAGGAGTACCCCAGCTGCTCCCCAAACCCTGCACATTCTTACCGCCTCATGTTCCTTTTCCAAGGCTGCTGTGGTGGGGTCCATCTCTGCATAGGTCTGGGCAAGAAGTGCACAGAGATGAACAGACATGGTTAGACTGTCCCCCACCCTAGAACGCAGTGCTCATCTACTGTCGTCTATAATAACTGCAGTAACAATAATCATGTCAACACCTCATTTGGTCTACGTGGTTAGGAGGCTGCCTCTTCTTAGCACCTATCTGCTTACTGACCCACACGTCCAGATGCCTCAATCTAGACCTTGAGCTACACGTAAGCAGGGCCTGGGGTGAGGCCTGGTTTGTGCTTAGGTTAAGAGCTTTGCTGACAGTAGTGGCACTCGCCTTTAAACCCAGCACCTAGGAACCTAAGGTGGGGGGGGGGGGGCCTAGGTCAACAAGTATGAAGCGAGCCTGGACTATGTTGAACCCCGTGTGAAAACAAACAACAAAAACTAGATTGATGTAGGGTGTAGTGACACACCTTTTTAAATCCCAGCACTCAAAAGGCAGAGACAGGCAGATTGCTGAGTTTGAGGTTAGCCTGGTCTATACCGAGTTCCAGGACAGTCAGGGATACACAGAGAAACCTTGTCTTGAAAAATAAACAAACAAAAAGCTTCAACTGTACACTGGGTCATTCATGTCCAGAGCAAGACCCACTGCTGGCTGGGGTCTCCCTCCTGAACAGCAGACCTCAGCAGTTTCTGAGAATACTATGTGAGGTTGCCCTGTCAGACAGTAGGTGTCCAGAAAGGACTTGCAGGACTCTTTCTTCTGGGCCCTCTCTTAAACATCACTGTCACTGGCCAACTGAGCGGATGCCAACTCTCATGTCCATGGCACCTCTGGAATCAGTTCCAGTGGAACTTCTCTCTGACCCACTCGAAACACTTGCTGCTACTTTAGGTCTGGACCACTACCTGTGGTTCCTTGCTACATCTCTGCCTCTCAAACCCACAGCTTTCAAAACCTTTCTCCCAGTCTTCAACCTTTAGTTACTTCCACTTGAGCATGCCCGTCCCTCTCTTCATGCTCTAGATGCTCACCTCACCGCGGCACAGAGCACAGGTCAGGTGAGTCTATGACAGGGCTCTGGGAACTATCATGTATAATTATTTTTGCTTTTCCTGTCATTCCCAACATCCTTCCCAAGCATCTTCCAGGAATTCTTATATTTCTTATATTCACTTCTTTCTTTGTGTTAGATTGTTAATTATGTTGTTTTTGAGATAGGGTCTCATTCTGCACAGCACACGGTCTGGAATTTGCCTTATAAACTAGACTAGCCTTGAACTCCAAGCTTACAGGAAATTCTTATCCCAGCCGATCAATCCTTCACACCTCAGGACCCCAGTGCTGTGACTACAGGTAAGCACCACCACACCTGGCCTTGACAGAGAACTCTTTTAGCAATTTTAGAGAGTAGTACACAGACAGACCAGGATAAGGTCCCTTGCCTGTGGGTACCTGCAGCTGCCAAGCATTCTATAGATACTATAGATATTATTTCATTTAGCTTTTATACTGAGTCTTTGAACTAGAGTGCTTGTCATTCTTACCATACAAAAGAGGAAACTAAGGTACAAAGAAGCAAAGTCACTTGCCTAAGGTCACAGAACTGGTAGCTCGGCAGCCTTGGTCTGCCCGATTCCAACAAAGACAGGAAAAATAAAAGGAACAAAGATTTTCTCCTCAAATGCCTCTTTAAACTTCAAGTCTCAATTTTCACAAAGCACAATTTTTTTTTCTGCAAATACATTAAAGAATTACAAAACCACTATTTTTCTTAAACGTTGCAGTTTTAGAATTAAACAATAATTAGAACAGGGCGCGGTGGTACACACCTGTGTCTCAGCACTTTAGAGGTGGGGGCGTGGGGATCAGTTCAAGGTCATCCTTGGCTATATATCAAGTTTGAGATCATGCCTCCAAAAGCCCCAACCAATCAACAGACCAAAGTCCCCAATCAGGGTTGATTCTAAAGAACCTGGTGACAGTTTTGTCACTCATCCTTAGTGACTCAGCCCCATTATCTACCCGCTAACTGAGCCACTATTCTACTCCGAAGATCATCTTCTAAACCTGTGAGGTCCGAGAAAACAACCACGAATCACAACTGCTATTTAAACACAAAGTCATGACAATTAAAAAAAAAAAGTTCTAGGGCGCTAGAGAGATGGCTCAGAGAGATGGCTGCTCTCCCAGAGGTCCTGAGTTCAATTCCCAGCAACCACATGGTGGCTCACAACCATCTGTAAATGAGATCTGGTGCCCTCTTCTGGCATGCAGGCACGCTTGAAGGCAGAACACTGTATATGTAATGAAAAAACAAATAAATTAAAAAAAAATTTTTTTTACAGAGCTGTTACACAGAGAAACCCTGTATCAACCTCCTCCTGCCCCGCCAAATTCTAGTCAAACTGGACACGTACAAACCAGTACTGCAGAGCACAGATGACTAGAAGGTTGCTACTGTCCCAGCTAGCAGCAGCCCATAGACAGTAACACCCTAGACCTGGAAAGCCTTTCTAACCTCAGAGTACTGGAAGCAGAGCTGGCACTGCACCCAACTGAAATGTCTGTGTAGATATACATGCATGGATTACAAGTGAAACAGAGTTACCTCAAAATAATACTTACCTCTAAGAACGTGGAAAACACTGATATTGTTTATATTATCCTATTTTTTCTTCTACTAAAAAAAATTTAAAGTGATGGAGAAATGGCTGAGAAGTTAGGAGTATTTGCTGCTCTTGCGAAGATCTGGGTTCGGTTCCCAGCACACACATGGTGGCTCACAGCCACTTGTAACTGCAACTCTAGGGAATCAATGCCCTCTTCTGAACTCTGTGGGCACTGGGCATACATGCGCCACACATGCAGGCAACATTCACACACATAAATCTAAAAAACTTTTACAGAAGTGAATGTTTTCCACACCACACCAAAAGTCCACAGTGAGGAAAGCATGGCTGCACTGTGATCACCAAGAACGGGAAAGGCAGAACTGACCCGGCTCACGGCTGCTGCTCGGCCTTGGCTCTGACATCGATGCAGGACTGAATTAGTCTGTCTCTTCTCTAAACATACTTTCCTTAACAATTTGGGTTTCTCCCCAATAAAAGCCTCTAAAACTTGGCTCCCTGCAATCCACCACGTATCTGACCTCTGTGCCACTTTTAAAGGCACAGATTGTTTTCCTAAACTTTACACCCCGCCTGCCTTCGGGGCTTTCTTTTAAACTCCAATACAATTGTCAAACTTAAAAACAGAAAGGAAGAGGAACAGAAAAAGAAAAGGGGCTTCAGAATGGGAGGAACACAATCCCCCAGGAACAGTCAAGGCCAGCCTGGGCTACTCGGACACAAGACCAAGATAGCCAGGCGTGATCACTCACCTGCAAGCCTAGCACTAGGGAGGCAGGCACAGGAGAATCAGGTCAAGAGCAGCCTTGGCTATGTAGGAAGTCAGGCCAGCCTGGCTACAAAGAGGGCCATTGAGATGGCTCAGCGAGTGCTGGTGTGAGCAGTGTGAACCTACAGACCCAGGCTTGAGCCCCGGAATCTACTTCAAGGTAGGAGAGGACTGAATTCCCAAAGTTGCTCTCCAGCCTCTACATTCTCAATCACAGCACACATACCCCAATCCACACCCACAATAGGGAAAAAAAGCACATATTTAATTTTATATTTATAAGTAAATCTATCTATATATAGGTACATATGTACAGTCTTTTTAAAAGAAGAATCTTGGTTTCGGATACATTTGTCGAATGTATCAAAACCATGGCTGGGGCTGGCTGTACTTCCTAATGAAATTTCTTTCCCTTTTTTTTTTTTTTTTTTTTGATTTTTTTGAGACAGGGTTTCTCTGTGTAGCTTTGGAGCCTGTCCTGGAACTTGCTCTCTCTGTAGAGCAGGCTGGCCTTGAACTCACAATGATCCGCCCACCTCTGCCTCCCCCCACACCGCCTGCTTTTTTTTAAGATTTATTTTTATATGTATATATATTAGAGTTTTGCCTGAATGTATATCTGAGGATGCCATATTCTCTGGAACTGGAGTTATAGACAGTTGTGAACTGCCATGTGGGTACTGGGAATTGAACCAGGTACTTTGGAAGAATAGCCAGTGCTTTTTTGGTTTTTCGAGACAGGGTTTCTCTGTGGCTTTGGAGCCTGTCCTGGAACTAGCTCTGTAGACCAGGTTGGCCTTGAACTCACAGAGATCCACCATTTGACAAACCATTTGACAAAAGAAAGTATTGGAGAAAGAAATCTACTTCAGGAGCTTTAGAGAAAGTGAGTGCTGGGATTAAAGGCGTGCACCACCACTGCTCAGCGCAGCCAGTGCTCTTCACCACTGAACCATTTCTGCAGTCCTCTAGTGAGAGTTCTAAACCTACCTGTGCTCCCTCTGTAAACAAAGAACGACGATCAACAAAAGGCCAGTCTGCAATGCCAGTGACAGGAGGGAATGAAGCCTGTCTAACCTAGTACTGCGGCTCACAGACCACTAACTAATGGGTTGCCTAACTCCTGCCTACCTTTTAACCAGCTGTCTAATTATGACACGTGAACTTCTCTGAGCCTACTTCCTCATGTACAAAAAGAACAAATTTTCCCTGTGGTGATGGACTACTGGGGAGGATCTGATGAGTTTTTACAGCACTCAGCATGGTGCTGGAAAACCAAGTTACCGACGTCATTTTGTTTTGTTTTCCTTTCCTCTGGACTTCAAGTCCTAACTGTACTATTTCCTCCTGTGAGATGGCAAGTCTCTTCTCTCTATACGCTGAGGTGTTTTACAAATGAAGAATAAATGATAAAATCCCTGGCACATTACAAGACCTCAAGTGGGAAGAGCTATGGTTTTGTTACAGGGCCCTAGAGGAGGGAAAGGGCCAGGACCTTCTGCACGTGGTTGATCTCATCGTGCTTTCGTTTTTGGTTTCGCGTGATCTTGCGCTCAGGCTGCTCCGCCAGCTCGCTCAGGTATTTCTCAGAGTTCTTTTGCACGGCATCCTTCACTGTCTTGGTCAGTGCTAGTCGGTTCTTGTCCACCCATTCGTCCAGTCGCCTGTTAACTGTTAAGATGGACCATGAGGGACTGACCTGCTACCTTTTCCTTCCACCCAGGCCCAGTGGCCCCAAACACTCACAGCCCACATAGTGTACATAGAATTCTTCTCGGCCCTCCTGGTCATTCACTCTAGACTGGATCACTTCTGCTGAATCTGGAAAGAAAAAATGAGATCTGATGCACTGAGGGATAATGTCCAGATTCATCCGTCCACGTCTGCTAGAGCACTTACTCACACTAACTATAAGGTGGGCTGGGTCAGGACTTTAGTTTCTGGGGAGGAGGGTAAGGCAAACCGAGAAAACCTGGTATTTAAGTGTGTTTGACTCCAAGGTCGGTGCTCATTGTAGTCACTCACTTATTGGGGGACATGGGAGCTGACTTCCTTCACATTTCCCAAATGAAGGTATGACCACATTATATTGACTTTCTGAACCTCAGTTTCTTTCTCTGTAAAGTAAGAATAGTGCTTACTTAGAAGGGTAAAAGAATGGCTTAAAACGTTTAGTATAGTGGCGGATACCTAGCAGATCTGTCTAGAAACTAGCGTTAGTCTGGTCTTCTATGGTGCTATTGCTGGACACAGAAGGCAGATACAATAATGAGTCACACGTGCACCTGCTCTCTAGCAGGTTCCCATTTAACAGAGGAAAGCAGACAAGTCTAACATGTTACATATATTATAGCTGAGGCATGAAAAAAAACATGTTACAGAACATACAAGCAATTAAGTTTGCCTAAGGGGTCCAGAATGGGATCACCATGGGAGATAAAGAGATGAGTTAAGTGCAAACACGAGAAAGGTTAACACATTCCGAGAAGAAAGCACCAGTGACCCAAGGTTTATAAAGGTAGTCTTCGGAGAGCCAATGGCCTTTACTAAGAGTGCCTAGAAACCAGGGAGATCAGCTGGCCACTTGGGAGGCAGAGGCAAGTGGATGGATATCTCTGAGTTCGAGGCCAGCCTGGTCTACAACGCAAGTTCCAGGAAAGCCAAGGCTACACAGAGAAACCCTGTCTCAAGAAACTGCAGAGTTCTCAGACATGCAAGTGTTACTTGAAGAAGTTTTGTTTTGTTTTTGAAATAGGGTCCTGGATCTCCTGGAACTCACTATGCAAGCCAGGCTGCCCTCGAACTCACAGATACGCCTTCCCAGCGCTGGGATTAAAGGTGTGCCTACCATGCCCCACTTTATTCTAGATTTAAAACTACATTTATTTATCTGATTAGGGGGAGTGGAGGAGAGCCTCAACCTGAAGGTCAGAGGACAACCAGTGAGATCACTGTCTCCTTCCACTATATGGGTCCCGGGAATAGAACTCAGATGGGTCACAATTGGTGGCGAACACCTTTACCTGCTGAACCATCTTAGCTTGGGGTTTATTTTGAAGAGGGAAGAAAAAGAAATCTAAGTAAAAGGGAAACGTGTTTTTATGAACTGGGCATCCTCTTTACTGGCGACCTAGAGGACGAGAGAAATGTAAAGCCAGACAAAAACAAAACAAACAAGCCAGTGAAGAAACAGAGCGAGAAAAAAGAAGTTCGAAATCAGGCAAGAGTGAGTGCTCGCAGGCTTACAACGTGCTCACCTCGCTGGTGGCTTTACGTGAGAAAGCATTACAGCCTCCCGAAGCCTTACCTGAGTAACCACCCTCACCCCGGGACGCCCAGCCCCCAAACCCCGCCCGACGGCGCACCCATCCGTAAGCCCCGCCCATTCCCAGACCCCGCCTCTAGGCCTTGGACCCCGCCCTCACGCCAGGTGCTATCGGGCCGCCGGCACAGGTACGTTTCTCCGATTTCCACGGTGACTTCTGGCTCGCCACGCGCCGGGGTCGGCGGAGAGATGCGGCCCGGGGACCGCGCAGGCCCCTCGACTGCTGCATTTTCCCCGGGCCCGGACTCGCCCTCCCCCACAATTCCCGAAGTCGTTGCAGCAACCGCAGCTGTTGCTCCCTGTGCCGCCATTGCGGTACCGGAAGTGATGCTGAGACTAGCGAGACGGGAGCTTTTTAGTTCCGGGTCAGCGGGGAGGGGGGTGGAGTCTCAGCGTTGGAGACTGTAATGTGGCTTTTGTTTCGTCGTGGGTACCCCGTTAAGCTATCGGTAGTTACAGTCTAGAGACCGTCCAATCTGATTTTTTTTCTTTATTTTTTTGAGCCGGTCTCATTTTATAGTCCTGACTGACTTGAAACCCGGTATATAGACCAGGCCAGCCTTGAAATCACAAGAGATCCTCCTGTCTACTTGAGTGCTGAGTTTAAAGACGTGCGCCTCCACGCCCGAACTCAATCTAATTGGTTGAGTTTGTTTATCTTTTTGCTTTTGGTTTGTGTTTTTGAGACAGGGTTTCTCTGTGTAGTCCTCTCTGTCTTTGTAGACCAGGCTGGCCTCGAACTCAGAGATCCACCTGCCTCTCATTCACGATGGGAGTAAAAACTGTTGAGACAGGGAAAGAACGAGTATGCCAAATAAACTACCTTCAGAGAATAAACCTTTTTTTTTTTTTTTAAAGAATCACATTCGTTCCAACAGGGCTCAAACCTGTAATGTCGCCAGAGGTGTCTTGAGGTCTCTTTTCATATCCTCCCAAATATTTAGGTTAGGATGTGTGTTACCACACCAGGTTCATGCACTGGTACGGATTGTACCCTAAGGTTTCATCAATGCTAGGCAAACATTGCTACTGAACTACATCTCCAGCCAGAATGGCACCTCTTAAAAAGAGGGGTGAGGGGCTGGGCAGATGCAGTAAAGAGCTATTTTGGCAGTGGCTAAGGAATCTTGAGTAGTGGCCCTTTTCTGAGAAGTGCCCCAAATTCACAGGTTCAGTGAAGATTAAACCACATGTACGTATGGTCAAGTCATAGGTTATCTAAACCATATGACCACATTCAAGTTAAACAACTTCTCACCGGCTGGCTAACTGGAATAAAGATCCTTTTCTCACCCCAGTCGTTTGGACGAACTGGCTCCCACGGCATGGTGAGTATGCCCAGCACTGCTGCGAACTTCTCCAATAGCTCATAGCACAGTGCGAGGCAGAGCAGGAACTTCGTAAGCCTCTTTTTTAGACATTCTCTGAAAGGTCTCTGACTCATAATTTGGTTATCGGTCTTCACAACAGTTGTTACGAGAGATGCACCTTGAGGTTGGGATCCAGAAACTATGTCCCAATAAATATCTCACTGAGCTGTCATGGCGCATGCCTTTAATCCCAGCACTTGGAAGGCAGAGGCAGGCGGATTTCTGTGAGTTTGAGGCCAGCATGGTCTACAGAGTGAGGTCCAGTTCAGCCAGGACTGTTAAACAGAGAAACCCTGTCTTTTAAAAAAAATCCAACCGGGCAGTGGTGGCTTACGCCTTTAATCCCAGCACTCGGGAGGCAGAGGCAGGTGGATCTCTGTGAGTTCGAGACCAGCCTGGTCTACAAGAGCTAGTTCCAGGACAGGCTCCAAAGCCACAGAGAAACCCTGTTTCGGAAAACCAAAAAAAAAAAAAAGTATTTGGCCACTGGATCTCTATGAGACATGGCATGGGGAATAAAATCTTTTTTATGGGGAGGGGGAGCTGGAGAGATGGCTCATCAATTAGGAGCATGTACTGCTCATTTCCACATCAGGCAGCTAAATACCACCTGGAACTCTAGCTCCTTCTCTGACTCCACAGGCACCTGCAGTAACATGCATACACCCACAGGCACCTGCAGTAACATGCATACACCCACAGGCAGACACATAGGAGAGACGGGAGAAGGCACTAGGAAAGACTGGTTGTCTTGCTGCTGGTCAGGATAGACAATGCCAGGTATCTGACATCCTAAGACAGACAAGCCAAAGACACCTTCTCCCATTCCAACCCTGTCGTGGAATATTAATTTAAGATGTGTTACATTTGTTTATGCTGTGGAATATATTTGTCTAATGATGCAAAGATGTGCTGTTTTCTTTTATGTGGCATTTGTTTAACTCTGTAAAGTGTTATTTTGCCAATCTAAAACACCTGATTGGTCTAATAAAGAGCTGAACAGCCGATAACTAGGCAGGAGAAAGCATAGGTGGGGCTGGTGGGTAGAGAGAATAAACGGAATGAAAAAAAGAGACGAGGGAGGAGAGAGAAAAAGGGAGGAAAACACCAGGGGCCAGCCACCCAGCTGGCCACAAAGTAGGAAAGATATATAGAATAAAGGAAGGTAAAAAGCTCAGAGGCAAAATGTAGTTAAAGAGAAACGTGATATTTACGTTAGAAAAGCTAGCCAGAAACAGGCCAAGCCAAGATCAGTCATTCATAAGAATAAGATTCCATGTGTTTATTTGGGATCTGGATAGCAAGCCCCCAAAGAGGAAAAAAAAAAAAAAACCAAACAACTATACAACCCTTTTCAGGATTGCTGTTGCATTTGCCCAGGCTTCTGTTACCTCATGTAATACTTCACCTGACATTTTCAGTTCCCGACAATGTCCTAAGTAAGGATTAGCCTAGGCACAGTAATCCACCGGTTGGATCTGAGCACTCACACCCCATGCTGACTTCAAGCCAGTGTCCACCGTGATGCTAACGTGCAAATCCTAGAACTGTGTAGGGACTGCACTCAGGCCACCCCTTACCATCGGGTGTATGAGCACAGACGCACCTGCAGTCCTGCAGGTGAGAGGACATTTCAGGACTCAGCTCACCTTCTGCCATGAGTTCTGCAGGCACACTCAGCGGCAAGTGCTTTTACCTGCTGAGCCATCTCCCTGGGCCCAGACCCTTTTTTGTTCCTGCTGTTGAGATCTGTTATTTCTCCGTATGTATCACGTCTATGTACTTTCAAAGACTAGAACATAATTGAGAACTGCCTAAAGGATTTGTTGAGACAGGGCTCTGCCAAGTAGCAGACTTGGCTTTGAAATCAGGATCCTTCTTTAAGTACCCCAGGTGCCAGGACCACAGGTGTGATTCTGCCTGAAAAGGTGAACGAGTCTTGTTTTTTTTTTTGTTTGTTTGTTTTGTTTTGTTTTTTTATTTCGAGACAGGGTTTCTCTGTGTAACCCTAGCTGTCCTGGAACTCACAGAGATTTGCCTGCCTCTGCCTCCTGAATGCTGGGATTAAAGGCGTGTGCCACCACCACCCAGCTTGTTTTTTTTTTTTTTGGAGACATAGTTTCTCTGTGTAACAGGTATGGCTGTCCTGGAACTCACTCCATAGACCAGGCTGGCCTCAAACTCACAGAGATCTGTCTCCTCTGCTTCCTGAGTACTGGGGCTAAAGGTGTGGACCACCACCTTTGGCTACGAGTCTAGGAATTTAGACACTTTCTCATCTCCACGTCCCAGAACAGGGAATCAGTTACCATGGAACTTAACTCTCTCGTGTCTGCTCTGAAGAACAGTGGACCAGCTCTGGACTTTGTATTAAGATCACTTGCTTCCTACTTGCTTTTGGAAGTTACCCCCCTCCACACACACACGGATGGAACTGAGGACATTATAGTTCTTCAGCCCTGGGACCACTTTAACTAATTATTTAGACACAAATCTTCCTCGGGATCAGCTCCTAAAGAATCCAACCTGGGCTGGAGAGATGTCTCAGAGGTTAAGAGAATTGACAGCTCTTCCAGAAATCCTGAGCTCAATTTCCAGCAACCACATAGTGGCACACAGCCATCTACAATGAGATCTGATGCTCTCTTCTGGCGTACAGACAAACATGCAGACATAATGGTGTATACATAATAAAATAAATAAATCTTTTTTTTTTTTTTTTTTTTTTTTTTTTACACAGGGCTTCTCTGTAGCTTTTGGTGCCTGTCCTGGAATTAGCTCTTTTGACCAGGTTGGCCTCGAACTCACAGAGATCCACCTGCCTCTGCCTCCTGAGTGCTGGGATTAAAGGCATGTGCCACTACCACCTGGCACAATAAATCTTTAAAAAGAATCCAACCTGGATCATCCCTTCTGGTCTTAAAACCCATCCTTGGAGCCGTACTGCCTCAGGGTAAGGCCCATGCTCCAAGCACTTGCACATTGGCTGCTGCCTACCTCTGGCAGCCAGCAGAATCTTCAGTGTAGCAAGGCATTGTAGCTTCCTGCCAGTTAGCCCCCAAATACAATTTCCTGTTTCCCCTCAACCCAACAGTTTGACCCAGGAGGCAGGAGATGGTACTGACCCACAACCACCCTCAGGAAGAGAACTGTCAGGAATCAGAGATGAGCTCAAGAGGTGGGTCTGAGGATGGAGAGATGGCTCGGAGGTTAAGAGCATCAGCGCTCTTCCAGAGGTCCTGGGTTCAATTCCCAGTGACCACATGGTGGCTCACAGCCATCTATAATGAGATCTGGTGCCCTCTTCTGGCCTGCAGGCTGAACACTGTATACATAATAAATAAATCTTTTTTTTTTTTTTGGTTTTTTTCGAGACAGGGTTTCTCTGTGGTTTTGGAGCCTGTCCTGGAACTAGCTCTTGTAGACCAGGCTGGTCTCGAACTCACAAGATCGACCTGCCTTTGCCTCCCGAGTGCTGGGATTAAAGGCGTGCGCCACCACCGCCCGGCTTATAAATAAATCTTTTAAAAAAAAAGAGATGGATCTGTCTTAGCACTTAGAAGGCAGAGGTGGGAGAGACTGCGACAAGTTCAAGACCAGCCTGGTCTCAAAGTCAAGTTGGAAGCCAGCTACAGAGAAGCAGTCTCAAAGAAGAAAAGTCTGGGCATGGGGATGTGACTCACTTGGAAGAGTGTTTGTCTAGCATGCAAGCTCTGCATTCTGTTCCCAGCACTGCATAAAAATAGGTGTGATATTAGATGACTATTTCCTTGGTGAAGATCAGAGGTTCAGGGTCACCCTTGACTAATAGCAACTGCTTTCCTACAGCTTGGGCTATAGAAAACCCTGACTCAAAACCAAACAAAACAACAACAACAAAAAAAAACCCAGCAAACAAAAAGATGTGATTCTTCTATGCAGTCCCACCAAGCAAGCTCTCATGTCCTAAACAAGGGG